ATTCAATTTGTTCATTGTCAGCAAGCTTGTTGAGTGCCCTTTTGTAGTACCTCATACCGGGTATCTTTTCCTTCCTCCCTCCCCCTGTAGTTGCTACAAAACAGATGTGTTGGAATCAGTCCAAGAGCCACAATTAGAGGGGTTTGGTTTCTTCGCAAGTCAGAGATGACTCTCTTTTTTCCTTCAGAAATGAAGTTAACCCTTTTCTATGTTTATGGTAGAGAAATAAACCATTCTATTTTCCAGTCACTGTTTTATTTTATTTTATTTTTTTTGAATAGAGGGGGAAGAGCTTGCTGAAAATAGAGCTGATCCTTTTAAAACAAGAAAAAGTCAGAGATGACTCTCTTTTTTCCTTCAGAAATGAAGTTAACCCTTTTCTATGTTTATGGTAGAGAGATAAACCATTCTATTTTCCAGTCACTGTTTTATTTTTTGTTTTTTTGAATAGAGGGGGAAGAGCTTGCTGAAAATAGAGCTGATCCTTTTAAAACAAGAAACGTACCACCTTTTCAAGCTAGTCATTTGTAGATCTTTTATTTCCAGGCAAAAATGCTAAAAAACAAAAAAAAATAGAACTTTTCCCTTGATGTATGCCATCTGCCAGTATACCGCAGTGTATTATTATGAGTTCCTTGTGGTGTACCACTTGTTGGAGCTGAAGACTACACGCTGGGAGCACAGGAGAGGCACAAGCTCAGAGTGAGGAATACGGGCTGGGGATGTGTATAAATAGAGAAGAGCTAGATTTTGCTGTCTTTGCTAGCACCAAGATTTCTTTCATGTTTTCAAATCCACAGGTCCTCCAGTATGCACAAACTTAATTTCATTCAGATAATCAATCGCTTTTCTTTTGTCCCTTTTCTGTGTTTCTTACTGGAGCTTTCCTAAAACACTCACCTTGATTTTTCCCTTTTTCATCCTCCACATCTAAGCATTTTATTTCCTGCCATGCTGACCAGTGTCAAGTATAAGTGTTTTATCTCATATGAAGACTTCAGCCTTACAAATTTTGTTAACAGGGTTGCTGTTACTTTTCTCAGAGTTCACCAAGTATCTGACTTTTATTTTGCTATACTTTGTTGGCCTTGAAGGATTTCTCAGTGGCTTAGCAGTAATTGGTGTAATGAAGACACTGCCACAAGTAATTGTCTTTGTTTTCTTGTGGCAGAAAAGCCTTTCCCACTTCTGCTATACATAGCAAGTCCCACTAAAATGAAAATTCATATAGTGATTATGTAAAGAAATTAATGTGTGAACTAGCTGGAGCATGTTAGGAATTATGTGTCAGATTTTCACAGTTAGCTTTGAAGCCCTTTATCAGTAACTGCGTATTATTTAGGATAAATGCTAAAATAGGTTTTTTCTCTGAAAACAGTGCTCTAGAAGGAATAAAATATGGTTTATGCTTACATGCCACTGTGCTATGCATGTGAGATTCTATCAGATGAGGCATCCTTTAGACTGAAGGAAAGATGTTATTCTATTAGAAAACAGGATGAATATATGATGAAATACGATATGGGCACATTGAACTACTTCTCATTCACTTCCTAAACAAGAGAATCCTCAGCATACCAGTCAGGAACTATTGGCCGTATTTAAGTTTCATAAATTATAGTGGATGGGATGTCCCTTCAGAAGTTGACTGTAAAGAAAAGGTATGAACATCAAGAGCTGACCATCTGTCAGAAATAGAATCCAGCAAAAATGATCTTGCATATTTTCCAAGAGAAAATGATAGGACTGATCTAGGGTTCTGGTGGATTAGTGGTGGTGAGTACATAACAAATAGTGTTTGTCAGCAGAAAAAGTCATTTCATTTAGCTTCTGAATTTAGCTGACTGCCATGATAGCCTCAGTGGAGCACCTAGTTATAAAGCGGCTATTAAGGATTACACAGAATTCTTTCAATTAAATCTGCCTTTTATTTTTATTTTTTTAAAAAAGATGACCGGTAAGGGGATCCTAACCCTTGACTTGGTGGTGTCAGCACCACGCTCTCTGAAGTAAGCTAACCGGCCATCCCTATATAGGGATCCGAACCCTCCCAAGGGGTTATCAGCACCTCACTCCCAAGTGAGGCATGGCTGGCCCTAAATCTTCCTTTTAGAATGTAGGTGCTTTCTTTTTTGATAGTTTTGAACTTCAAGTTAAAAAAAAAAAAAAAAAAAAAAAAACCGAAAAACTGATACTTGGAGAATGTTTTTAGTTAGTAATAGAGTAGCAAGGACTCGGGAGGCAGAATTGCCACGATTTGAATCCTGGTGCTACCAGGTATCAACCCTTTTGTGTCTCAGTTTTCTCATCTGTTGTGCCTCATAAAGTTATGGGGATTAAATTCATATTTATAAATAGTTCATGGCACGCGGTAAGCACTGTAAGAGAATTTGTTAAATAAAACTCTGGTTTAGTAAGCTGAATTGAGCATTGAATTCTGAAGATGTTCATCTTCAAAACTTAAACAGTAATTTCCCTCTACATTTTACTTCCATCTCTCTCAACACATTGTGTTTTTTACTTGGGTGTAATTTGTTTACATGATGGGTTTGTGCTGTATGCGGTAGAAGAAATCATTCTTATATCACTGGTTCTTCAACCTAGAGCATAGCCTTTAGAGTAAGAAATGACTTCATGTAAATTAAAACTTCATGAAAATATTTTAATGACATTTAATCCTGACTATTGGTATTAGCAAACTGGGAAGCTGTTAGGCTATAATAAATGATGCATGCACGTGAAGGGAGGGTGGCATAATGGTTTATCTTGTATATATTCTACATTTAACAAAATAGTTGGGACCTAGAAAAATTGTTTGCATTTCATTTAGGTGTTTTCTGTGCAACATGGCATAAGAACCCCTGAAGATTCTGGTTCAGTAATTTTAGATTAGAGCCTAGAAACATATACATTTAAAAAAAAAAATTAATTGACTTTATTTTTAAGAACATGTACTTTTAACATGCATCCCAGATGATTGAGTTAAGGCAGGATTTTTCTGAGTGAAGTGATTCATCTGTGTTCTCCTGAGCCCCAGCTTACTCACCAACATAATCAAAGATTTGACTAGAAAAATGGTCTACTTCTAACTCATTTCTGTGACTTTATGATTCCTATTTTCCTCATGAATATAATATCAAAGAATTCTATTACGTATGATAGAATATGGGGTGAAGAACTGAGCTTCTGTTTACCAGAAAAAATTAATTCTGCAGACTTAAAAGTTTTAATAAAGCTTTCTAATAAATAAGTAAACTTCTAATAGTTATTAGTAATTTGGTTCTTTGTAAATATTGACAATGAACTGTAATAAAACTTTGGTAATATATATTGTCTTCTATATTTTGTGTTTAAAATATTACTGCTTTTTTTTTTTTTTGTCCTTTTTGTGACCAGTAAGGGGATCTTAACCCTTGGCTTGGTGTTGTCAGCACCACGCTCAGCCAGTGAGCCAACCAGCCATCCCTATATGGGATCCGAACCTGTGGCCTTGGTGTTGTCAGCACCACACTCTCCCGAGTGAGCCACAGGCCGGCCCTATACTTCTCATTCTGATCTGTGGTAATTCTCTTCTTCTTTTTGCTAGTTATCTGAGCACCTGAACATAATTAGGCGTTTTTCATAAATCTTTGCTTGATAATACCTTTACCATTTATCACAGTGGCTTAATTTAAAAGTTCACTTCATATTTAGCTAGAGAGACATGCCCCACTGCCTGTGAAGACACATTTGTCTAGCCACAAGGAATGTCTAACAATCAGCAAATTAGTATTAATTGTTCTATTGTTGGCCCAGTGATTTCTTCACCTGAGAGTAAATGGATAATTGGTGGCTGTTGACTCACTTAACCATGGGTTATATTCATCCCCTAAGTCTAACCCCAAATGGGTCTCATGTGGGAGAGTAACAGGTTCTTTCTTAGCTACACAAATTGATGACCAATAATTGACACTCGTTGGCATTGTTATTTTTTTGTTGGGGTTTGGAGGGAGGCATTTAGGAATACAAGCAAGATGGCAATATGGAGCATCAAAGTCCTATAATTTCTTTTTTTTTTTTGTCTTTTTCCGTGTCCGGCAACGGATCGCAACCCTCAGTGTTACCCCCGGTCCTATAATTTCAAGGTTACTTCTTTCAGACAAATTTAATTCCTTAAGTTTGGAATGCTCATTAATTAATGAATTTCTGTTCTTTTTTTGGTGGGGGGCTGGGGAGGAGGGTAGCTGACCAGGATGGGGATCTGAACCCCTGACCTTGGGGTTATAAGGCTGTGCTCTAACCAAGTGAGCTAACCAGCCAGCTAATTAATGAATTTCTGTTAAGCAGGTGTATTAATTAGTCCATTTCTGTTGCTTATAACAAAAATACCTGGAACTGGATATTTTATAAGAAAACAAGGGCCGGCCCGGTGGCGCACTGGATAGTGCGCCGCTTGGGAAGCGCGGCGGCGCTCCCGCCCGAGGGTTCGGATCCCACATGCAGACCGGTTCCCGCTCACTGGCTGAGCGAGGCGCGGGAGCAACACCGAGGGTTGCGATCCCGTTGCCGGACACGGAAAAAGACAAAAAGACAAAAAAAAAAAAAATGCTTACAGTTTTGGAGGCTGGAAAGTCCAAAGTCTAGAGAACACATCTGGTGAAGGCCTTGGTGGTATCAATAGTAACCCAGGGGTCTCACATGGCCAAAATGGCAGAGCAGAGAGAGGGAGATAGCTTCTCATGTGCTGTCCTTTTAAAGGCCTCAGAATCACACCCAAGATCACCATTAAACCATCAAGGCCTCTTAAAGGGCCCACCTTTCAATTACCACAATAGAATTTCCCACCCTCAGCAGTTACAAAGGGGACTAAGTTTTGGGGGGACATTCAATCCAGGGCAGCAGGGAACACGTCTAAAACACCTTTAAGGGTATACGGCTTATTAAAACTTTAATGTATGTGCTATTTTGAATGATAATCTTTACAGATCTAATTGTGGTCCATGGTGTTTAATCTATTTTAGAAACTGGATGGCTTCTACAGGGAGCCAGGCCTCTGATATAGACGAGATTTTTGGATTCTTCAGTGATGGCGCACCCCCCACCAAAAAGCCAAGGTAAATAAGAGAAGGGAATCAGAAACAGAATAAATTACCGTTAGTGGGAGATAAAGAAAAATAACACATTTACCTGTGTTCCACTTGTTTTCACTGATCAATATTGTCCTTAGTTTTAAAAATTATTTTTATTTTGGATTTAATTTTAATTTTAATTTTTTTATTTTTTATTTTCCTTTTTTTTGTCTTTTTTCGTGACCGGTAACGGGATCGCAGCCCTCAGTGTCGCGCCCGTACTGCGACCGGCAACGGGATCACAACCCTCAGTGTCACGCCCGCACCGTGCTCAACCAGTGAGCAGACCGGTCTCTATATGGGATCCGAACCCTCGGTGGGAGCGCCGTCGCACTCCCAAGCGCCGCACTCTACCGAGTGCGCCATCGGGCCGGCCCTTAATTTTTATTTTTTATCAAGGTGATACACGTGCGCAGTTTTAAAAGTTAGTACTTCAAGGCTCATAATGTGTCACCCATCCTCAAAGACAATCACTTTCAACTTTTTTATCTGTTTATTCTAATGTTGACATCCATATTTTAAAATACCATATTTGTACTGCTCCTTTTTGGTTTTATTTATTTCCAGTTATGGAAGATAAAGATTTGGTTTGCTCTCATGGCTTCTCCCCCCATATCGCCACCCTGCACACTCCCCATGTCCTCCCAATGTGTTTATATGACAGTGTTTAGTTCAGTTTTTAGTATTTACATTATTATGACTATATAAATAGTATTCATAGCTGAGCCTGAATAATGTATCATATTCCCTTTATTGACCAGTTTTTTTCTCTATATTGTTCAAGGTTGTTTCATTGTTTTGTTTGCCTTGTTTTCTATGTGCCTTTCAATTTATCCTCAAGTGCTGTGACAGAAGAATAAATCTCATAGATATGCTGAAACACATCAGTAACTTGCTGGTTTAATTTGTTTCACGGATTCTTCCCTCGACTCTATTTCACTTGATAGTTGTTCTCCAGGCCTGCTGCTTTGCTGGTATTTGCCATTTCCCTTTCTCTCAGAGAGTTCCCTTTATGTCTCTTCTGTACTGGATCCTCTGTTTCCTGGATCTCATGTTGTCTTTCTTGGTGTACTCCTTTATTTTGCTGAAGCATATCCTCGTGTAGCTTCTTTAGTGAGGATCCATAGGAGAAAATGTTTTGGAGACATTTGAAATCGTCTTCATCATACTCTTAAATTGATTAGGTGGTTTGGCTGAGTATAGACTGTTAGGTGGGAAAAATTTTTTTTTTAGCCTTTTGAAGGTATCACTCATTTCCTGCTAATGTCTAAGTATTCCTGCCAAAGAAACCACTCTATTCTTATTCCCAGTCCTTTGTATTATATGACCTCTTTTTCTTATCTCATTAAAAACCTCTAAGGATCATTGCTTTATTTTCAGTAACGTGAAATTTCACAGGATATATCTTCATATGAATCTAGACACTGGATGGTTCTTTCAAACCAGCTACTAGTAACTTCACTTTGGAGAAATTTTCTTGTGTTACTTCTTATTTGATACTTTCTATTATAATTTTTTGTCTCTTCTGTCTTGTAGAACTTTCACTATTCAGATGTTAGACCTTCTTATTCTCTAATTTTCTTACATTTTTCTATCTCTTGCTTTTTAAATTCTACTCTAAAGGCTCTCTGTTTTGTCTTGGGGATTTTTCACTTATATTTTTAATTTCCAATCTCTTTTTTTGCCTATTTCTTTTTTATAGTACTCTGTGTGTCATAGTTGTCGTTTTTTTAAATCTATATAAGTATATCATTGTTTTCTTTTAGATTTTTCTTCTCTTTCCTGTATTTTCTCGTTTCCTCCAAATTCCTTTCTACCTGATAGTTTGTTTTGGTGTAACTCTAGTGTTGGGGGGGGTTCTCACATGTAAGGTGCCCCTTGTTTGTCTGCTCATATTTAAGAGAAAGCACTAGAAAGCCAATTGGACAGTCTGTGTGTGTGTATGGGGCTTGATTGCAGGTATAAAGCATGGACCAGGCTCTACAGTTGAGGAACTCCCATGTGTTAGAATCTGTGGGTTTTTTCTCTCATACTGGTTATTTTCCCCAAAGAGGACTCCTCCTGTCTCCTGACTGGATGGGGTTTAGGCTTAAGGTTGAGTCCCGGTGTCTAGGAGGCTCTTCCCCTGGGAAGGAGGTTGGGGGAAGTCTTATAATTAATATACAGAGTTTTAGTTAACCCCACCCCTCAGCTGTGCACTATGTTCTCTAATATGGAGTCCTCTGGTTCATTCATTCCAGAAGGCTAGCCTCCCATCTTAGAGTTCTGACTGCTTCCAATACAGATGTGCAATAGACTCTCCTATTTTAGTCCCACCTGCCCCTCTGCCTTCACATGTACCTGAGCAGTCCTGAGGTTCTACAAAGGGAATTGGCTTTTATGTTACAACTTCTAAACTTTTGTTGCCATCTGACCTTTGTTGTCTACTGCTTTCTTTTCCTATCCTACTTTTTATATGTGTATGCCTTCTTTAAAAAAAAAAAAAAAGACTAGTATTTAGTGGTTTTAGGAAGTACCAGAAATAAAGCACAGCTGTTAATTTTTTCCTTTTTAATTGGAAGTCTTAATTAGGAAAATAATGACTCAAATCTGTACATGGTATGGTAAAAAATTCAAATAGTACATCAGTTTAAAGTGAAAAGTAAAAGTCTTTGTTCTCCCCAATCCCCAGTTAACCGCAATTGACAGTTCCTTTGAATCCTCCTAGAAATATTCTGTGTGTATATGTTTGTGTATGTGTTTTTGTGTATGCATCACTATCTTGATTCTTCTGAACTGAAACTCATTTTTCATCATTTGCTTCTAATGTCTATTATTAGTCTTTTCCAGTCAACTAAACTTTTGAGATCGGGGATTCCATTTTGTTCATAGATACAACACTAGTGCTTATCACAGTGTTCGGTACTTACAGGTTTTTCATGTTTATTAAATGGTGAAATTCAGGACCTGGGAATAGGGAAGGCAATTCTAGAGGTTGTTTTCCCAGAACCAGCTTTCTCAATGTTTAAAGTTATTGTTCCATTTTTGTGTTATGCCAAAATGCTGATCCTGTTTCTGTTTATTTTATTATTTGGACAAAAGGTTGGGAAAGGCAATTTCTTAAGGAAAAAAAGCATGCCATCAGCAAAAATTGAAGTGAAGGAACATATGTTAGACAGAGATTTTATTATTGTCTCCAGAATGGAAGGGCAGTGGGAAATAAAAACTTGTATCCATGCTGTCTCACATATGAGCTTTAAGAACAGAACTCTGTGCGTATTATGGTAAGAAAGGAATGTTTTTCGCTTTTTGTCATAACCATTGAATAGTTATTTATTTAGGTGTGTAATGCTCCTCCTGTGTTTTCAGAATTCTGTGTTGGACACATTTTTTTTTTTTCTTTTCTGTTTTTTTTTTTGCCTGAGAATATCTAGAACAAAACCAAGGGCAGATTTGTTAGTTACTATATTTGACTATGTCATGCTCGATTTTATCTTAATGATATTTACAGAATTTGGGATTAAATTTTTTACTGACTCTCATCTCTCCTGTTTTATATTTCTAAACAATAGAAACAAGTTTTATGGGGTTCTTTTCTTTCTTTCTGGAATATAAATCAAACATTCTTTTGAAATTTAATATTGGTTTAAAATATAATTTAGATGGCAGAACTCAGCTGAGCGTAATATATTTGGGCTTTTTTGTAACATTAATGGGTTTTCTTAGATTGAGAGGACCATAAGGGAGAAAATTGATTTTAAGATCGGTTTTTAGGATTCCTGAAGTAGCTCTATTACTTTGCTTTTCAGCAAGCACTGGCACAGTATTCTGGTCTTTTTGATTAAGCTCCTTTGGAGAAGTGTCAGAAACTGGTATTCGTCATCTTTGTAACTATAAAAGTTACAGGTGAAAACCGTGGCTTTAGTCAGATCGTCTTCCCAGTATGCCTCCTATCTGTTGAATGTTGGGATCTTCTCATTCGTTTTACTTTTTCAGGAAGCTCCTTCCAAGCTTAAAGACTAAGAAACCCCGAGAACTTGTGTTGGTGATTGGAACAGGCGTTAGTGCTGCAGTTGCACCTCAGGTTCCAGCCCTCAAGTCCTGGAAGGGGCTAATTCAGGCCTTAGTGAATGCTGCCATTGATTTTGATCTTCTAGAAGATGAGGAGAGCAAAAAATTTCAGAAATGTCTCCATGAAAACAAGAACCTTGTCCATGTTGGTCATGACCTTATCCAGAAACTCTCTCCTGTGAGTACCCTCCTATGCCATGGTGTTTGAAATTTCCTAAAACCGTGACTAGCATACTGAATGTAATAGGGGTATTTGCATAACATTCGGCTCCTCTGAAAAATGGCTGTTTATGGGCCCTCTTCAGGTTAATTATCTTGACCTTATTTCACTGTGTGTTTATTTGTGTGTGTGTGTTGATGATGATGTTGAGATATTTATATGTACAAAAATAAGAGTACTGTCCCATTATTGCTGTGTTTTCAATTTACTTTTTCTGTATTTGCTAATGTAAAAGCTGTGTTCCCTGGCATCTATGCCTGTCAGGAAACTTTAGAAAGATCAGAGATACTTTTTATCATTGCATGGATGAATCAAAATCAGTTTTTAATGTTCTTTTTAAAAATAATTCAAAATATGCATAAGGAATTTTGTCTTTTATCAAACTGAGTTGGATAAAGAGCCTCTTTGTCTTGCTTTTTCTTAAAAATCAGGATTCACTTGAGCTATATTTGGAAATTATAGAATAGCCAAAGCATGTTCTAAATCTTAAATCCAAGTGCACCTTGGAAAAAATATAACTTACTCTTTTAAAAGTTAGCTAATTGGGCTGGCCAGTTAGCTCAGTTGGTTAGAGCGTGGTGTCAGTAACACCAGGGTCAAGGGTTCAGATCCCCATACCAGCCAGCCACCAAAAAAAATCCCCAAAAATTAAAAAACAACAAAAAAAAAGCTAGCTATGATGATTTTCTCCCCAGGATCTAGTCCTATAGGAAAGAAGTGTCACTAAGAGTTAGCCTAAAAGACTGGCATTTAAAAGTAAATTCCTGTTGGTTCATGACTCATTGCATAACCTAGGGCTTTTCACTTTCTCTTTTTATTTCCTTGTCCTTGATTGGGATAAATTGATACTAACCAAGAACAAGGTAAAGATTTAATAAGTTTTAAAAAGCTCATGGGACGTCCACCTCATACCATATACAAAATTAACTAAAAATGGATCAAAGACCTAAATATCAGAGGTAAAACTATAAAACTTTAAGAAGAAAATATAGGTTTAAAACTTCATGTCCTGTCTTCACTCGTAAGTGGGAGCTAAGAGAGAAAAAAGGAAGGAAAGAAAGACCACAGTGGTGTGTTGGACTTGCAGAGGGAGAGAGCATACCTAGCGTTGTGGAGTGGGGTGGAAGAGGGGGAGGGAAGTCAAAGATTAGTTGGGTGGGGGACATGGGGAATAATTGGAATTTGTGGTAATGGGAATGCTGATAGTATTGATCTGGCCATCACATCTTGGGCACAAGTGGTGATGGTCAGCTTTGTACCCTATGAATATACATAATCAATTAAAAAAAAAACAACAAGAAACCTTCATGACTTTGGGTCTGTCAGTGGTTTTTTTTTTTTTTTGACATGAAACTAAAAGCACAAGCAACCATAGAAAAAAATAGATATACTGGACTTATCTCAAGTTAAAAACTGTTAAGCTCAGAGAACATTATCAAGAAAGTGAAAAGAAAAAAAAGAAGAAAAGACAGCCCCCAGAATGGGAGAAAATATTAGCATATCACATATGTAAGTGTATAGTACCTAGCATATGTAAGAAACTATTATAACTTAACAGTAAGAAGGCAAATAATCTAGTTTTAAAATGACAATGGTTTTTTTTTTTTTTTTTTTTTTTAAAAGATGACCGGTAAGGGGATCTTAACCCTTGGCTTGGTGTTGTCAGCACCACACTCAGCCAGTGAGCGAACTGGTCATCCCTATATAGGATCCGAACCCGTGGCCTTGGTGTTATCAGCACCACACTCTCCCGAGTGAGCCACGGGCCGGCCCATGACAATGGTTTTGAATAGACATTTTTTCAGGGAAGATACACCGATGGCCAATAAGCATATGAAAAGATGTTCAACATCATTAGTGATTACGGAAATGCAAATCAAACCATGAGATACCACTTTACGCCCACTAGGATGACTAGAATCAAAAAGACAATAACAAGGGCCAGTCCGTGGCTCACTTGGGAGAGTGTGGTGCTGATAACACCAAAGCCACGGGTTTGGATCCCTATATAGGAATGGCCTGTTAACTCCCTTCGGAGAGCGTGGTGCTGACACCACCAAGTCAAGAGTTAAGATCCCCTTACCGGTCATCTTTAAAAGAAAAGAAAAGACAATAACAGCCCACAACCAGGCACACCACCAGTGCCTTGGGGCCCCACCCGGGGACCCAGGGCATCAAGCCAGACATCCCCCCACAACTAGGCACACTGCCAGCACCAGGAAGCATGCCAAAAACATCACTTCCATGTGGGTGGACCACCACAGTCACCACAGTAACCACAGCTGCCACAAAAGTGGCTAGACATCACAACCACCATGCAGCTGGTCCACCAGCCACTGGAGTACACTGACACAAGGAGAGTCACCAGCAGAGACCAAAGAAAAGAAAAAGATGTCTCTCTCCGCAAAGCCCATTCCAGAGTGACAGAAGAAGCATCTGCTCTATGATAATATTGGGGGACCTGAACACACCTCTCAGCACTGGACAGATCATCTAGGCAACAAATCAACAGAGTAATCATTACTCTTTCAGAGGGAGAGAAGAAATCTAGAGTTATCAGTGATGGGAGTGGGGAGGGAAAGGGGGATATGGAGAGATTGGACAAGGGGCATAAAGAATAAGTACAATTTGTAACAATATACATACTAGTAATATTGATTTGATCAGCATATGTCAACATTGAATCCCAAAAACATATAATCAGTTATGATTCAATAAAATAAATGTCAAGACAAAAAAAAACCCGATAACAAGTGTTGGTGAGATGTGAAGGTATTAGAACCCTCATACACTGTTCATAGGAATGTAAAGTGGTGCAGCTGCCTTGGAAAACCATTCCTCAGTAAGTTAACAGATTACCATATGACCTAGCAATTCCACCCTTAGGTATACACCAAAGAGAATTGAAACCAAGTTTAGGTAAGAACTGTACACAAATGTTCGTAGCAGCAGTATTCATAATAGCCAAAAAGTAGAAACAACCCAAATGTCCATCAGCTCATAAATGGATTAGTAAAATGTGGTGTATCCATACAATGTTATTCAGCCATGAAGAGGAATGAAGTACCAATACATACTACAACATTGATGAACCTTCAAAATATTATGCTAAGTAAAAGAAGGCAGACACAAAAGGCCATATATTGTATGATTCCATTCATATAAAATATCCAGGATAGGAAAATCCATAGAGACAGAAAGTAGTTGCCAGGGCTGCAGGGAAAGGAAAATGGGGAATAACTGCTAATGGAATAGGATTTCCTTTTAGGGTAATAAAAATGTTCTAGAATTAGGTAGTGGTGGTGGTTGCACCTTGTGAATATACTAAAAACCAGTGAATTACGCATTTTAAAAGTGAATTTTATGATACACAGATTATACACAATTATACTCAATGTATGCAACCATATTTTAATTGAAGGTGCTAATAACATTTTAAAATTTCTTCTTAAATTTAAAAATTATTTCAAAACTACTGCAAAAAATAGAAGGAGAAGGAATGCTTCCAAGTCATTTTATGAGGCCAATATTTTACTGATAACCAAAACCAGACTAAAGGATATCACAAGAAAAGAAAACTACATATAAAAAGAAACATGACCAAGTGAGAATTTTCCTAGGAATGTAAGGTTGATTTAACAACTGAATATCAACGTAATACATCCTATCAATAGAAGAAAGGACAAAAACCACATGATTATCTCAGTAGATGCAGTAAAAGCATTTAAAAAAAAAAACACTCAACAAACTAAGAATAGAAGGAAACTGCCTCAACGTGATAAAAGCTATGTATAAAAAAAGTCATAGCTGACTTCTGGTCAAGATGGTGGAATAGACGGTCTCCAGTGTCACTCTCTTCCACAAATCAACTCATTTACAATATTAAAAAACAACAACAGCCAAGCTTGGGCTGCTAGAGCTCAGGGGAAGAGGAGGAGAGACCGATGGAGTACATAAAGGTGGGAGAAGCCACGATGAGAGACAGAAAAACTGCTCCGGCCATTTCGAATCCTGGCTGTTTCCAGGCTGGAGCTGCTGAGTGTGCAGAACAGGAGCTGGCAAAAGCTGCAGCTGTGCCCTTCACATGAAGTTGCTTGGAGGCGGCAGGGGAGAATAGGGCCTCCAGGCCAGCAATACCACTAATAGGGCTCCTATGGACCCACATAGGACTGAGGAGCCACAACAAATGGAAAAAAAGGAGCCATTCAGAGACCAGAGGGTGATTGCAAGGGATGAGAGCAAGGCTCATCCCATGGGAAGTGTTTGGAGCATGGGTGGTGGAGGAGACAGGCCCACCAGGAGAACACTGGGACACAGCAAGGACAGCTGATCTGCCCCCAATCAGTGTAGGACCACTCAGAGGAGACTGGTCAGGAATATAGAATTGCATGGGGTGCAGTTTGAGGAAAAGACTCAAGCCCAGACCAGTGTTTCTACACAACCCAGGTGCATCAGATTCCACTAAACCCGGAAGTACCTATAAAGTCTACCATTAAATCTTGAGCTGCACAAAAAGCCTTCCCCAGGGAATCAGCAGCAAAGCAGCAATTTAGCTTTTTACTGGTCCCCACAGAAAGTTCCCCCACTTTAGAAGTAAGCAAAGGACAAAAAATTAGTTCCAGTGCAGAGTTAAAGTGGTGGGAACAGCAAATAATCAAACACAGAACTGAAAGAAAAAACAGAGTACCCATTGGGGCCTGCCAGGGGTCCTGAGGTCTGAAGCCAGGGTCTGGACCCTCTGCCTACAACCAGACACACCGCCAACGCCACAGGTTCCACCCAGGGTCCTGAGGCATGGAGTTGGGGAACTGGACCTCCCACCCACAACCAGGTATACCGCCAGTGCCAAGGGGCCCTCTGGGGTCCTGAGGTATGGAGCCAGGGACCGGATCCCTGCCCACAACCAGACACACCGCCAGGGCCACAGGACCCACCTGGGGTCCAAAGGTATGGAGCCA